ACACAAACCCTAAACCCTAAACCCTAAACCCTAAACCCTAAACCCTAAACCCTAGACCCTAAACCCTAGATCGTAGACCCTAAACCCTAAACCCTAGACCGTAGACCCTAAACCCTAGATCGTAGACCCTAAACCCTAAACCCTGAACAATGCATCCTAGGCACGAAGAGTGGGAAACAACCGAAAGCAGAAACCCTAAACCCTAAACCCTAAACACTAGACACAAGGCAAAGTCTAAACCCTAAACACTATGTAAACCCTAAACCCTAGAACAAACCCAAACCCTAACACAGAACAAACCCCAGACCCTAGGGTTTGAGAATTAGGGTTTAGGATTTATAGTTTAAGGATTAGGGTTTAGCCTCTATGGTTGAAGGATTAGGGTTTAGGGTTTAAGAAACAGGGTCTAGCATCTCGGGTTTTGAGGGTTTAGGGTTTAGGGTTCTGAGGGTTTAGGGTTTGGGGTTTTGAGGGTTTAGGGTTTAGATTTTTAAGGGCCTAATGTCTAGGGTTTTGAGGGTTTACTGTTTTGAGGGTTTAGGGTTTCGAGGGTTTAGGGTTTTGAGGGTTTAGGGTTTTGAGGGTTTAGGGTTTAGGGTTTTGAGGGTTTAGGGTTTGTGTTTTGCCTGATGGAGGTTTGTCCGCCTAAATCCCAAACCTGAAATTCGATGTTTTTATATTTCACTGTCTCCACGTTGAATCCAATTGCTGCACAAAAAAAAAACAAAAAAAAAAGTTTGCTGCTGCTGCTGCTGCTGCTGCTGCTGCTGCTGTTGCTGCTGTTACTGCTGCTGCTGTTGTTGTTGTTGCTTTTGCTGCTGCTGATGCTGCTGCTGCTGTTGCTGCTGCTGCTGCTGTGGCTGCCCGTGCTGCTGGTGCTCGTGCTGGTGCTGCTTCTGCTGTTGTTGTTGCTGCTGCTGTGTCTGCTCTGCTGCTGCAGCTGCTGCTGCTGCTGCTGCTACTCCTGCTGCTACTGCTGCTGCTGCTGCTGCTGCTGCACTCACTGGGTACGGTTTGTATGACTTCGTTTAGGTGTAGGCGATCTGCACACAAAGTGATAGCAGCAGCAACGCGGTTGTTTCTGCTGCTGCTGCTACTTCTGCTGCTGCTGCTGCTTCTGCTGCTGCTGTTGTTGTTGCTGCTGCCGCTGGTGCTGCTGCTGCTGCGGCTGCGGTCGCTGTTATCTTGCTGCTGCGCTCCGTGCTGCTGTGGAAGGGGTTCATCATACAGGCGTTGCTGCTGCTGGCCAGGAAGCAGCAGCAGCAGCAGCAGCGAAACGCATGCAGGCAGCAGCGACAAAGTAGAGATTACTGGGAGTACAAACACAACAAAGAGAAAGTATAAGCAGCTAGCTAGAGAGAGATATCAGCAGCTAGCCACCCAGCTAGCTGCACATAGCTAGCTGAGCGTCCCCCCTCGTCTGCAGCAGCTACGCAGCTAGCCAGCCAGCTAGCTAGCTATCTACGCAGCTAGCCAGCCAGCTGGCTAGCTATCTACGCAGCTAGCTAGCGAGCTAGCTAGCTATCTACGCTATATACGCAGCTAGCTAGCGAGCTAGCTAGCCAGCTACGCAGCTAGCTATCTAGCTAGCTAGCTAGCTAGCC